TATTATCTCTCAATTAAGTGGGGACGCAAATTGGTGTGTCTGAAATGCTCACGTCTGCCCAATCTTTTTCTAGTGACGCCTAGTAGGATTTCTTTTTGGTGCTTGCTGCCTGTCTGCCTTTTAAATTTTCGCTATACATTCGTAATGCATGGTGATTTTGTCTTATTGTTTTCCTTTATATTGTTTTGTATCTTATCTGCTAAATTTCCTGTTCTGACATTTTTGCTTCTGCTTTCATGTTCCTGCAGCTCTCAACTTCTAGTTTCATGTTATTTGATTTAAAAACGATTATTTCCTCTTATTAAAGCCATGACTGTTCACTTTCTTAACTAAATGTTGTAGACAATTGTGGTCTAGAAATGTCTCAAAAGCAAACACCGAGGGATTTTTTGAAACTTATTATTGGTCGTCCTGTTGTCGTTAAGCTGAACTCAGGTGCAGACTATCGTGGAGTTTTAATATCTCTCGATGGTTATATGAACGTTGTTTTGGAGCAAACCGAAGAATACGTCGAGGGTCAGCTAAAGAATAAATATGGCGATGCCTTTATCCGAGGAAACAACGGTAATGTGCCAAACTAAATATTCTCTTTTTTAGTTTTTTACATTAGCACTCAGAAACGTGGGAGCTTGAAATAACCATCATCTTGGCGGTGGCACAAATAAAGTTTGTTCGATGTTTGCACTTTTGCATTAGCAGCGTGCTTGGTCAAGTCCATGCTTGCCTCCGTACTATCCTCTTTGTAATTAAGACATTGTGTTTCCTGTTTCAATAACGCATTTAATACCATCATGCTGTGCTTTGGCCTATACTGTAAGGAACTTACACTAATATCATTGTATATCTCGCCAAAATGAATCTTGTTTGCGCAAATTTCTTCGTTTTCTTTCTTTGCCGACATTAATAGTCACTGTTCGTCACTTACTTGACGCCCGTAAGATTCATGGCATTTTTTTGTTCGTAAATGTTCTGCCTTCACTTTTTTTCGCTTGTGCTTTTAACGAAGCATGGACAGCATAGTGTTTGTGAGAATTCTCTGCACTTCGTTGTTTAATGTGCTTTAAACGATGTGCTCTGTTAATGTGCTTGTGTAAGGCCTAGAGTAGAACAACTCTAAGTTTCCTTTTGTTTGAATTTACATTTGTTTGGTCGTTTAACGTTGGCTCAGTCCCTTTGATAGAAAGCTATTCGACTATCCATGCATTGATGGAGGCTTTGGGTACTCCTGCGTGTCCATTTGCTGTTGAATATTAAGTGACTTCAGTAGAGTAGGGGACGAGTCGCTGCAGATGCTCTCTGAGTAGTGAGTCGTGATTTAAAGAGTAGAGTATGGATTTTCATGTAGAGGTAGCATTGTCTTGACAAGTTTATGTACCTAAAACTGGCAAGGTACTGATCTTATTGATTTAAGCATCGCAATGGCCGGTTATTGCGGACCTTTACTTCGGCTTAAAGGGAGTAGTATCTTGTTCGATTTGAGCGTGTATAGCCACCTTTACTTTGCCGGCAGTGGATTGTTTTGGACTGATATGTTTTAAACAGGCAGTATGAAATAAGTTGTGGTCTTTTGTATGTCGGCATCTAGATTTGCTTGTAGTGGGCGAATTATTGGGAAACAATAGAGTTCGTAGTTTCCTCAATCTCACCGAATCGAAGTTGCACATCCTTTTTTCAGGGCCTTCTTTGTGGAGAATAGTTGTGGCTTAATTACAAAATCAGGCGTATTTTCTTTCCATTATAAAGCGACGTAAATATTCGTGGTCACCGCCGATCTTTTTGTCACATCAAATTTGGGTTTGCTTTTTGAACCAAGAAACGTCTCTAAAATGAAATTCAGTTCCTTACTAAATATTTCATCTTAAAGCTGTGTTGAAAGGGTCCAAAGAGCAAATCGTTTTCATGCTAGTGCTTAGTTGCAATCCACAACTACCATACTCTCCAGATAATTGTTATTGCCTTCCGAAATCTGCGTAGTAGGTAGAGCCTCTGGTGAACGCGCATATTGGGTTAAAAGCTTGGGAAATGTTACCGTTACATGAAAATTAATGTTTAGGAGCAAAGCTCATCCTGCTTGTGGCTTGAAGCGCATTGAAAGCATGGAGTAAGCTCGATTACAAGTTGACGAATGCTGATGTCTGATGGCTCCACCACGGGTTCATCCATATGGTGTTGTTTTTTTATGCTAGAAATGATTACCATACATCATCACAGGTGTCAATGAAGGAATGTCGTGTTTTAACTCAGTGAAGAATTCACGATAGTGCTGCTGTAATCGCTGTTTGAATGCCTCATCTTCCCTAAAGGTTTGCATTTACTGTAGTTTCCCAATACTTCCCACCGTCCATAAGAAGGCATTACATGGGGTCGAATACATATATTCTGAGGAGGTGAAGGGACTGAGCTTTGGTTCGGCTCAAAGGCTAGCCCACCCGTACATGAACGAGACGAATACTCAAGTAATTGTCAAACATACAGGCATTGCATTCATTAGTTTCCTGCCTCGAGGTCCGAGCTGATTCCAAATAGTGGAGTGTCGGATTGGAGACGACTTATTGTGCATTGCTCTATGTGAATTATTCCGTGAGGCATGCTACCCCTCTAGGCTCGAGCTTATCTGTTTGCTCCGTACTTGGAGTCATGCACCTTATGGTGGCGAAGGTACGTCAATACAATCAATTTCATTGTGGGGTCTATTTCTCGATTTTTATGCAGCTACCGACTTCTTCTGAGGAGGGTGCCGTTGTGGTTGTTGTGCTTTCTACTAAATTAGTGCAACATTGGCAAGCGGCAGTCCTACTTTGATGTTCGTTGTGCAAGCAAGCGGGTCATTTGCCGTTTTAACCATTGATAAATGCAGCCATCTATCGAAATCTATCTTTCTCTCACCGAATGTGTCAATGAACGCAGCAGTCCACGCACCGTTCAGGTGCCTACTGTGCAGATGATTGAATCCTTGAGTGTATGGAGCTAGGTCAAAATGGGATTCACTCTTATCATACCGCTATTGTTGGAGATAACTGCAAAAACAAAATTGACTTCATGGCATAAGAACAGTACAATTGCATCGGGTGAGTTACTCTAGGGATGGCACTTACGGTGAGGTCTAACATATTTGTTTAATCGAACTCAGGCGAACTTAAATTTAGAAACCAGTGTAAAAAGATAGCTAAGGGCAGCCAAGCGTGGATGTTGGTTGTGAAACCAGGCACAGTGGAGTTACCGTTGCGCATTGTGAATTGATAGCTCTGAAATTTGCTTAAAGTGTCTCTGTGACGCTCTGTTCATTTGATGATTATCGATAAGGATACACAATTTTGTGGATATGCAACAGCATGGAAAGCAGCATAATTTTGCTATCATTTTCATAGTTGCTTCTAGAGGTGTCACAAAACAGTACTGGGATGGAATATGCATTGCCAATTAAGAGAGCTGAGGCCTGCGGACATGGTTCGCAAAACCAAAACAAACAACGACAACAACAATCGTGCGAGGCGTCGTGTTAAGGCATAAAAGGTATGCGCGAGTGATTGTTTTGAATTGTCGTGCGCGTAACATCAGCAACACAAGTAAGAACCTTCGTGCGTTTTGCATGCTTTTTGTTGGTAAGAAAAGGGCAGCTGAGGGTACACAGCTCGCATTACTGGGAGCATATTTGTGATGGACGTCAAAGGCAAGTTGTTAGTAAATTCCCTAGAACAAGCACGTAATGGTATTTGCATCTCCGAGAAAGCGAGCCATTGTGGTAAACTATAAATGGTGGTCGAACAGCAGAGTGGGGAATTGCGAAAGAAAATTGATCAAGTCTGTAAAGCTCTTTCATGCTAAACCTAGCCAAAGCACAACCGCCGATGATGCGTGGTAAAACTGCACCCACTTAAATAGTTTTGGCGTGGCGGTTTCAGAGTTTCTTAAAGACAATGGGGGAAATGCATCTCCTCAGCATACAGAAAGGGTTTGGGACTGTCAGCACAGCCCACCTGCCAACCATTTATTTCATGGGAATACACACACATTTAGCCAACACAATAGTTGATGGTTGAGTTAAACCAATTGTAACGCTAAAAGGCGCTTATTTTGCATCCTTGATTGTCCGGACAGACTCGAAAGTGTCTTCGTTAAGACAACATTTTCGAGATCGTCCAGGTCTTTGTCACCTTCAGTTAGACGTCAGTGACGGTGTTCGATTCGTCCACTCTTCATTCACACCAATATGATAATTACATAAGTAAAATAAAATCATGTTAAACGTTTTCGATCACAAAATGCACACCACTTAGAACGATGCCATGTTACTTTGTTAGTAACATGCCCCAAAAATCTCCTCGATTGGCAAAATTTAGAACCACATTTACAGATGTAATGAAGACCAAGTAATTCAAGCTACTCATTGTCGATTAGATACCCAAGTTCAAAATTTAATTGAAGCGTAGTAATGTGGCAAAGGAGTAGGGAGAGATGTTTTGCGCTTGACACCAACTTGTTCTCACAGGCCGAAAACAGCTTTGCTTGTTTTAAACTAATTTCGTCTCTTGTGGTGCTGGTAACGGTTTGGTAAAGTCAACTATTGCAAGGGGATGGACAACACCTTCTACTACTGTAGCCGTGTGTGCGTGTCCAAATAAGGAGGAGCATTGCTGATCAGCCACTGGTCGCAATTGCAATCAATGGCCAAGACAGGGAACTCAGACCACAGGTCTTCATAGCCTTACTTCAAAGTTTAAGCGTTGAGTAAATAATTCCCTATTTTTCCTCAAGATGTGCCTCAAAACAAAAGTTTGTAGTCGAATTGAGTTATCACCCCATGGAATATCAGGCACCAATATGAGAAAGAAGAACATGGGGAAGTCATATTGGTGTTTCGGTGTCGAAACGTTTTAATGCCAATCCTTACACTATGGGAAGAGCTCCCCATTGTCGCCCGTGCATAAAAGTCGTGGTCAATGGGAAAACTCCGATTAATTTGTTGATGGTGGATTAAGTACTTTGCCTCATAGCCCTTCACCACACCCAGGTTGGGAGTGCGCTTCCAACTTTGCGTCGCTTAGCTACCAGGGCAATAGTAGAATTTGGTGTGATCTTCACGAAAATTTGTTTGGTTTGGAATAATTTTGCAAGCATGCATTTTATTCTGCCGTTCCTATCCAACTATGTCACTCCAGACAATCGGACAAATGTGGTATAACGCTTACCATCACCCTTGCTAGCCTTCCAGTTACTATGATAAATACAATCCTTACAGATAAAAAAATTCATTCGTGCCAATAAGTGGTCGTTTCACCTGTCACGTAAAAGAAGGGTGTGCGATGAGTGTGTTAGACTTAAGAAACACCCACGCAGAAGATGGTGCATACGCTTATCTTTTTGAGGAGCACGCGATGTCAAATCACAGTGGTGTCTAATTAAGGAAAAAAACAAAGTCGTTAAAACATTTTGTGGTCACAGGTGATTTTACTTTGGATTTGTCCTCGCCTCATTTTGTTGGCTATCATCGTCGAACATGTTACTTTTACCAGTCACACTTTTACAGACACTTAAATGCCATCCACCAAGCCTCTTAAGAACGTCTCAGTGCCACTCAACCGATCGCCTACTTCGGATCTGCTAAGGCCAGTCGGTACACAAAGACCAAGCATCACGTCAGTGAGGTGTCATTTCGATCACAGAAGAGAAATTGAGGCATGCCATGCTAATGTATAACTGCCCATTTTAACCTAATGTTATTACTTGAAAATCGTTCAAACACCCTAAATGACGTTACGTGCATACAAGTTAGGCGATAGAAATCCCAGTGAGGTGTAGCTATATCAGCCCAAAGGTTACTTTTAGTTATTTCTCCTATCTTAAATTTGTAAAAAAAGGTAAGGAAAAATGAAAAGCTCACTTATTTAAAGAGTCAAAGCAATGCCGCTATAATAGCCTTTAGAAGATCGGTAGGAAAGTGTTGCGCCACTCGGATATGTGTTAATGAATAGCTTCGTTCAGTTTGGGTGGGATGCTTCGCCGATAATCATGCTCAGATGGAAAACGAGCTAACAACATTGTCCGTTCATGGAGACATTCAGCATAAACTTCCAGTTTTTATGAAACCATTTACTTACAAAATGAAAGTGCATGTCGACTACAAAACAAATTTCGGTCTCATCAATTCAACACCTTCACCATTATAATCGTCAATGCACAAATGTCTCCCTGCTTCCCATCCAGACCTCATGCGCAACAGTTAAGCTTTGCTAGGCTGCAAACTTCTTAAATAAGTGGACAATAGTTGGTTTAAGTGCTTTAATGAGGATACCAAAGTATATAAATGCGGAAAATACTCTCAAAATAAGGATTAATTTGTGGAGCTCTGAGGCATCACTCAAATTCCGATAGCATTATGCTAACCGAAGGCACAAGTCACTATGTTTGAATTTACCAGGAAACACAAATCACCACTACTTGTCATAAGTTTTACTAGTGCAAATTATACCTCTTCATACCAAATCGAATGCCCATGTGAAATCGGGTGTATGCCTCAGCATTACCATAGCACCATTGCGAAACTCAAGCAATTCTTTTCGCCGATGATTTGGCAAATGTGAGTTGGTGGCTCTTAACGCAGCAATTCAGAAGGGTACGCGACCCCTATTGGCAGCTCAAACAACTTCAACGGCAAATTATTTGCTGGTGTTTCGCTGTTTGCTGCACCCAGCACTACTTAAAGACTGGCGTCTCCTGAGCAGATTGCGCACAGTCAAGTCCGAGCACAATGGCGTCCTCTCTATCAACTAAGATTCTTCGCATCCTGTTGGTTGTCTTCGATCTTATAATCTTTGTAAGTCAACAAGTTTGGGTGACTGATGCTTCAGGCGGCTGGTGTGATTATGACTGGTTTCGGCATCTATCTGGTAATCGCAGCCAGGAAATACGCTGCAACAGGGCAAACGCAGGCAGTTCCCATCGCGTTTTTGGTTGTGGGAGTTATCGTGCTAATTACAAGCTTTTTCGGCTGTTGTGGCGCCTTGAAAATGAATAAATGCTGTTTAATGCTGGTAAGATTATTAAGAATATAAGTTTTTTTCCAGTTTGCATTATTCGTCGCCCTTATAGTAATTGGTGAGATCGCCTGCACCGTCGTCCTTTTTGTCAACAAGAATGGGGTAGGGTTCCTGTACCTTTGTCAGTAACACCTGTACTCTTCTAGTTCAAGCCGTACATCAGGGATTACTTCCTCAAAGCAATAAAAGAAATCGAGAACAACAAAACTTCCGAGTTGAAACAAGCTATCACTTATGTCCAAGATGAGGTAATGCCCAGTCTTTGCATAAAATTATTTGTCTGCAGATGGAATGTTGTGGTGCCAATGGGCCAAAAGATTGGAAGAGCCCCTCCACTTCCTGCTGCGAAGATGGGCATTCTTTTTGTTTAGACTACCCTCGTAGAGTAAGCACTCACTCCTGAACGGTACATTTCAATGATTCGATTTTCCCCCATACTCTCTGCTCTGTTGTAGGGTTGTGTTGATGCAATCGCCATCGAATTGGGAGAGAATATCATTGGAGTTGGAGCCGTCGTCATTGCGCTTGCAGTCCTCGAAGTGGGCGCCATAATGGCCGCCGTAGTTTTGTCGAAAAAAAATGAAAAGGTGTAAACAATTACTCTCTTAACCTCTCGTCATAACCATCATATTCCAATCCAATCTGCAGTCAAGCTATGCCATTTCGGTCCATTTCCCACTAAAAACGAAATCATTCATTCTCATTTAACTGTTGGCCGAATTTTTTAAGTAAAATTTTGCCATTCTATTTGTCATTGTATCATTTTATCATTTGTGGTGCGGATTACAACTGCAGGGGTCCCATTGTGCGATGTTGACGGGAAGGCGCGCCACTCTTCAGGTGTCAACTTAACAGAGCCTTTTGACTGCTCACCAGCCGCAAGTGGTGTGTACGACCTAGTAATGAACTTTGACCACCGATGTGTGCCCGTTGGATAAGTCTTGAGGTTGATACAACTTTAAACGTCATTAGCGAGACTCACAGCAATTCGACTCAAATTAGCTCAGACAGTGTCCAAAAAGACTCGGAACAATTAGACTGACATCGGCAAACGTTTGGCCTTTTCCATATTTCTTAAATGTATGCTAAAAGTGCGTGCCTATTACATTTATGTGCTGGTTAATACTCTCAAAAGCCATTGAGGCTCCCTTTTATGGTCTGAAGATTAGCACCGCCACGAGTGCCTTTTCGCCAAATGTTGTTTTCATAAGCCGCGTTTCTCCTTTCTTTGTTGGGCATTTACATCCCATGCACTTCCAATTAGCTAAAAGACTATTTCACCTCGCAGTGGTGCCGAAACGCCTACGTTCTCTTTCATCCTCTCTGTAAGCCAAGGTTTTTTGAAAACACTTGTGTTAAGTAGTGTGGGGTCTCTAAAAGGAGCGTAATGAGGATTTAATAAGATACATAATCCATTCCTTGGCACACTGTTCTTTCAACTTACCCAACACCACTCGCTCCATTGGGTTAGCCGTGGCAGTGATCAAAAGGAAAGTTATAAATACCATGCAGTGCAATGGAGGCAACACGATCCCCGTCTGATTGGTGGCATTAGGTCAGACCACTGTTAACCTTTAATAAATGTGTGCAAGCTGTGGGGTGAGTATTTAAGCAGAGGTGAGAAGTCGTTATGGTCTCTAATGTGCCTCCTGACACAATGTTAAAAATGCGCTCTGGTAGTTGCTTTCGATTTGCTGTGGTCACTTTTAATCTTTTCGCATTTGTAAGTTTTTGTACTGCATATAAACCCACTAGGTGGCTAGCGGTCTCCTAGTCGGCTTTGGTATTTATATTATCACAAGAGCAGTTCCCAACGGGTTGATCACCGTGATCCATGGAAGTCCTATATTTACATTGGTTCTGGGTGTTGTCGTGTTGGCAACTGCATTCATTGGTTGCTTCGGTGCGAGCTATTTGAATGGATGCCTCATTAAATTGGTACATTTTAATCTTCTTATGCTTTAAGTATGCCATATTAATGATGATTTTGGTTATTGGAGAACTCATTTGGGGGACGCTGCATATCGCATTGAAGGATCAGGTATGCTTTTTTTCACACAAGCTGGAAAGTCACCCATTTAGACCTTAAAGCTTATCGAACACTACTTCAACACTTCTATTGCTGAAATTGAAAGCGGAAATGCCGATCCACAACTGTTAAATTCCATAAAAAGGATACAAAACAGCGTGGGTATATATATTTCGTTCATTTGCTGTCTAGTTGGATTGCTGTGGAGCACACGATCCGGAGGATTGGAGAGATCCTTATGAAATCTGCTGTAGAGTTGGAAAAATTTGTTTCCGGGTTCCTCAACAGGTTGCGTTTGTATCACCCTGAATATATGTGCTTTCGGGCCTTGGTTTTATACTACCCGTTCCCTTTATTACAGGGATGTGTCCAGGTCGCCGAAAAAGTCTTGGTCGACAATAGAATACCCCTCGGAATTAGTATAATAGTACTTAGCCTCATCGAAATGGGAGCCGTGGCGTGTGCAGCATCTCTGACAAG